ACTCTTTACTCCTGAGCCACCTCTCCAGTCCCACCTATGATACTTTCTATGCATCAAATTTGGCAACTTTAGCCAAGGCACCTCTGTGCTCCAGAGACAAAATAGAAAATAATGCTCTGTCTTCAATGAATCACAATATGCCCGCCTTTATTTACATTTTAATTTTATTCTTCATGTGTACACAGCAACACGTTTGCCCACTGAGTCACCTCACCAACCAAGTCTCAATATGCCTTTGAATAGCATCACTGAAAATAACATCATGACCAACTATCTATAATGCAATTTTACAGTTAACTGCAGAGTTCATAAATATGTTTTTGAAGTGTTGAGGATTGAACTTGGAACATCGTGTATACTAAGCAAATGTTCTACCACTGAGCTACACTCCCAGCCCCAGAGTTTGTTTTAATTTTATTTTAGGTGTATGAGTGTTTTGTCTGCATATATGTATGTGCACTGTGCCCATGTGGTACTTCTAGAAGCCAGAAGAGGGTTTCAGATCCCCCGGAACTGAAATTACAGGTGGTTGTGAACAGCCATATGGGTACTGGGAACTGAACCTGGGTCCTCTGCAAGAGCAGCCAGTGATCTCCATCTCTCCAGCCCCCAGAGTTTTTTTCTTTTTTAATGAAATGTTAATAAGGTACTAATTCTCAAAATGAAGTTGTGGAGTTAAATTAAATGCAAATGTCTTTTCACTATAATAGCTTGTAGCCCCAGCTGGCCTGGAACTCACTATGTAGACCAGGCTGGTCTTGAACTCAGAGATCTGCCTGCCTCTGCCTCCAAAGTGCTGGGACTAAAGGCATTTTTTTTTTTTTTTTGGCCCTTGTGTTTTGGGCCTTTTTTTTTTTATATATTGGTCTTTTTGCAACAGGGTTTCCCTGTAGCCTCAGCTGGCCTGGAACTCACTATGTAGACTAGGCTGGCCTCGAACTCACAGAGATCTACCTGCCTCTGCCTCCCAAGTGCCGGGACTACAGGCGTGTGCCACCACACCTGGCCACAGTCATACTTTTTATATTTTATTATTTTTATGTGTATGTGTGTATTGCCTGCATGTAGGATTGCCTGCATATAGGTAAGTGCATCCGTGTCATGCAAAGTCCTTAGAGGACAGAAGAGGCTGTCAGATCCCTTGGAACTGGAGTTACAGACAGTTGTTAGCTGCCATGTGGGTGCTGGGATTCAAACCTGGGTCTTCTGCAAGAAGTTCAGCCAGTGTTCTTAACCTCTGAGCCATCTCTCCAGCCCCCAACAGTCATATTTTATTTTATCTTTCAACAACATTGTTTTAGATGGAGAAAGTATCAATACTGTGTATTACAGACCAGATAACTAAGGACCAGAGAAGTTCATTAACTTCCTCAAGGCTACATGTTAGATAAGTGAGAGGCAACCTTGGCCCCAATCTAAATCTCCTTTGCTTTCCTTCTGTGGTACTCTGGGGGTAGTGTTTGTGTGTGTGTGTGTGTGTGTGTGTGTGTGTGTGTGTATGTGTTTAAACCTTTCCTTTTACTTCCATACTAACTGTTCCTGAGAATCAGGATGAAGATTCACAGGTTTCCACCCCAGAAATCTGGGATGGAGGTTGTAAGATTCTACACAATCAGCATTCATCATCAACATTAGGAATTAAACTAAATCCCTAAAACCACTCAAAGGAGAACAGGCATGTGTTTGTTCAGAACTTGGCAAGAGGGTCAGTCACCATTGCTTGTCCTTTCCAGAGGCTCAAAACAAGCAGGGACATGAGAAGGCTTTATTAAAAACAAAAAACAGAAGAAAAGGCTGGGAGTGGTGACACATGCCTTTAATCCCAGCACTCGAGAGGCAGAGGCAGGCAGATCTCTGGAAGTTCGAGGCTAGCCTGGTCTACATGGTGAGTTCCAGGACAGCTGGGGCTACAGGAAGACCCTGTCTCAAAAAGACCAATAAAACAGTCTATAAAGAGGAGTGTCAACTCAGAGGAAACCATCTCATTCATCCTTCCAAATGAGGCCAGGCACGGTCGAGCAGGACCTTTGACTTATATTCACATAGATAGAACTGGTAAAAGGAGCCAGGAGCTCCTCCCAAACCTATGTGACCCCTGAGGAACAGAACAGATCCTGAAATGACCTTAAGTGTAAAAATTAATTGATTTATTTGGGCCAATTGTATGGTCTTAAATACCCAAAAGGAAAGTATAACCAAAGAATAAAGCCATCAGTATATTTCTTTAAGAGTTCAAGGGATTACATTTCCCAGACATTAGGCTTAAGTCTATATAAAAGGTTATTTAGACAATTATTTCTCATTGATGATTTTGTTCTTAACCAGAAAGTACTGCTCAGATGTAAATCTTGATCTCCAATACTGTAGTGTCCACCTGTAGCTAAGGAGACAACCAGCTATTGTTCTAAAATGATGGATACATTTTTCTCCTCCTATCTAGAAGCCTTTGAGAGGGAGTTGACAGATTCTAAATACTCCAACAGCTATCAAAATACCTGAAAGCAAATCCTGAACCCATCACTCCAGCCTTGGAAGGCAAAAGAAAAATGAGGAGGAACCCAATAGAGGGATGCTTTTGGAAGCCCCTGTCAAGAAATTCCAATGGACTCTCATATGATCATTTGAAAATTGCCCTGTTCTGACTTTTTTTCTAGTTCCTTATCTAGAGCTTGTAATGCTAATTACTCTTGCCTTTACTTCTCCTTCACATCTCCTAGTCACCAGTCAAGGACTTTCTTTTCCCCCTAGAGATAAGAGTTATGCAACTTGGGAGTCTTTTAGATAGACGCACTGAAGGGGTATTCCAATTGCCTCACCCTATGTCCCTGTTCAGCATATAAGAAGCCAGAGCAGTTTGAGTCCAGATTCCCTATTGGCAATTTGGGTAACCTCTTCAGAGGGTAGTCTGATAAGAATAGGAGGTAGGAATTGGCTAGGCAGTTAGGGTAAAAAGACCCCAAAGAGCCGGGCGCACACCTTTAATCCCAGCACTTGGGAGGCAGAGACAGGCAGATTTTTGTGAGTTTGAGGCCAGCCTGGTACATAGTGAGTTCCAGGACAGCTGGGGCTACAAGGAGACCCTGTCTCAAAAAGACCAAAAAAAAAAAAAAAAAAAAAAACCCCTAAAAAAAAAAAAAGACCCCAAAGAAAAGTAGCCAGTGTCTTGGCTAAAACTCACAATGTCCTTGGGCCTCTTAACAACATACTCTGTTCCAAAGTTCCAAAGGCCAAAAATGTCAAAAATGATGTCATAGAAGTGTACCTGCTATGGTAATGAAAGGCCTTAGACAGAGGGCCTCAGAGGGACCCCGGCGTGGGCAGGAACATTTGGGTGCTGGTGAGGTTTGCCTGTACCCCATATTCTTGACCCAATTTACAATTAAACTGGTGTGATGTGATGGAGTTGGAGATAAGGACCTGGATGGGCATGGATTTGATCCAAACACCTTATATGCATATATGAAATTCTCAATAAATTATTTATTTTTAAAAAAGACCAAAAAACAAAACAAAACAAACAAACAAACAAAAAAAAAAAACAAAAAAAAACAGAAGAAAAAGACAGAGGAGGAAGAAAGCTGGGGAGTGATCACCCTAGATATCTGATTCGAGGATGTTGGCATGGGAAAGCAGGATGGGCTACAAGCATACGTGACTGATGTCTGGTTGGTCCTGAGGTGGAAGCAGGAATAGAAATAGAAGTTGGCAGTAGTTGGCTGATTGTTCAGCAGAGGTTGTGGTTTGGTTTTGTCAGCTTTTTAGGGAGTTCAGAGCTCTCCAATCATGCAAAGTGTGGCCAGTGTCCATCTGCATATTCTGCCTTTCAGACCGTACTTTAAGAAATGCACTGGTTCTCTGGCGGTGGTTCCAGCCTGAGCTTCTTCCAGAAGCTCCATGACAGCCATGGACCATTTTTCAAAACTCGATTACCAGTTCTCAGTCCTCTGAAGTGCTCATAAATTACTCAAAATCTTGCTGATAAATTAAAATATCTGATACTAGCTTTTGTTGTAAAAAGAAAATGAACTTTCCGGTGTAGTCCATGGAGATCTTTATATGAAGACTCACTGTCACCAGAAGGCTGGAGGTCGCTCCTCCAGCTACTTATGTTCTAACACAACAACCCTGAATCCTGGTACTAGCACCCAGCCTTTGCCCGGACTACCCCCAGTTTTCCTGAAAGCTTCCCAGTTAACTCCTGGTGTGCTAGTGAGCCCCAAGGCTCCCTCCTGCGCGCTCTGCTGGAGGCAGGATGGGGTTTGTGGGAAAGCTGCTACTTGTGGCACTTGAAGGCAGCCCCAACCCCAGACCTTTAGTTTTGCCGCCTTCTCTCCGCACTTTCTCTGCCCGCGCCATCAGGGCCGGGGCTGGTGAGAGGTCTTGAGGGAGAGGGAACGCACGCACATTCATCTACGGTATGAACTCGGGCCTTGGTTGTCTAAGAGAAGGCGTTTCGATGAGTATGTTGCACGCGGGAGCAAGAGCGGAGCGGGGCTGGCCACCTGCTGCGGGAGCCCACGTTGCGGTGGCCGCGACTGCGGGGGGCTGCGGGGCGGAGGCGGGGGAGCCGCCGGGCACCAAAATAGGAGCCGCGTGTGGGCCGGGGCTGCACTAGCAGGCAGCCTCCGCCGCACCACGCCCGCCGCTTCCAAAGATGGTCAGAGGGTCCGGAGGCGCTCCCGCCCCCGCTCGCCGCTAGCCGGGGCCGCCGGCGTCCTGCCCGGCCAGCGGAGGTAAGTGCGGTGCGGAGCCGCGGCCCCAG